AAACTCTAGCCCTAAACCCTAAACCCTAAATCCGAAATTCTCCAAAAAAGCGAAAGAATGGGCGCCGGGTTCCTGTGAGTCACTCATGGCCGACACGACCGGAGGGACGACCGCAGGCGCCGAAGCTTTGCTCGCCCAGATACTTTGTCATAGTTGGGAAGCATTTTACATGTTTAAGGGTACTTAAACCCAATAAGGAATATCCCTAAACCCTAAACCCGAAACCCTAAACCCTAAACCCTAAACCCATGAGCTAGGATAGAGGCCACAAGGGTTCGGCTGCGAGCGGAGGAGGCCAGGGCTGGGCAGCTCGATGCCGAGGCCCCGTGTGGATGAAGAACCTCCCTGGATCAAGTCCATGATGGTGTGTATAATATATATATATATATATATATATATTTATTTATTTATTTGTTTATATAGATAGGTGTGTACATATAATGTATGTATGCATGTATGTATGTATGTATATCTGTATATACATAGATATAGATATATCTTTCCATATGCTGATATCTTTGTATCTTTTGATACCAAGATATGATTACGGAACCACATTACTGCAAGGCTGTTAAAATTAATTCCACCGTCTGTTGCCGGGCCCACTCTGCCTGGAGAAGGTTCGGCAAGCTGAAGAGCGGCAGAGGCTGCGGCGAGTTCTGGATGAGGAGGTCTCCAAGCTGCAGGAAGCAGAGGAGGACAACGAAGACCGGGCTCCTCGGGAGCCAAATGAGCCTTAAAATTGGGATCATGTAATTACCTTTTACGGCTATAATTCCTATTGAGGGTTTCTGAACCATGGACCCTTTTAGGGTTCCTTTCGTCTCCAAGGTTCTGTATCAGCGAGATGTTGATGACGACGAGGAAGGGCCCTACCTTTACAGAATTCCCGGAGTCACGAGACAGTACCCCACAGGCTTTCCGACTCCCACCGACGCGAGCGCGGGGGAGTGCGTGAACTTCGCGCACAGGATCTCCAAGGGCGAGTTTGTGTGGAGAATTTCTGGCATGTCGTGGCTCGACAGCGAGCTTTGGCATAGCAACTAGGAGGCCCAGTAGTTTTCCCCTGATTCCTTTTTTTGTTTTTGTTGGTTTTTTTTTTTTTTTTTTTTGGGGGGGGGGGGGGGGGGGTGTTTTAGGTTCCCTTCTAAACCCCTGCAAGCGCAAAACAAAAGGCACCCTTTCAATCCTAGGACCTAGTTTGTTTCAACCGAGGCAATGAGACATTCATTGTGTCAGAGGCCGAACTCGAAGTCGGCACGAGCATTCTCTTTCGCTTCGCGTACAACCCCCATGCAGGTCATGTGGGGGAGAAGGATCCTTGGGGACCAAATGAACCTTAAAATTGGGGGTCATATACCCTACACTACCATCATTCTTATTATGGTAATATGAACCATAAACCATTTTTTAGGGCTCATAATTCGTCCCCTAGGATGGGTGGCCGCAGAACGGAACTCTGGCCATACGGCACAGCGGCCACATCAGGCTCGCGCTCAGATACAAGATCTACATCCAGGCAGGTGACGGGAGCTTTGTTCAGTGGAGCGCAGGCAAGGGCCTCTACTCCCCGGCCTACTCCCCCTCCCACTTCCCAACCGCCGAAGCCGAAGCCTTCGGCCCTGATGTGCGCTGGGACTGGGGGTATTCAAATCCTGATCCTTGGTAGCCCAGTGGTACCCTTTTCCCCCTTTTTTGTTTCTGGTTTCCCTTATAACTTATAAAGTAACCAACCAAAAAAAGTGCCCTTATTATAAGATGGTTACCCTAAACCCTAAACCCTAAACCCTAAACCCTAAACCCTAAACCCTCAACAAAACAGGGTGCCCTTATTATCAGATGCTTACGGGGCCACTGAGGATCCCATTCCGACCATGGGCGTCTTTGGACTGACGCACCAGCAGCTCCTGGAGTCCCCGTGGGCCACTGGGACTCCGAGGTCTGCTAGAGGCTTTCCCTCGGTTTTTGATGCTGTGTAAAGGGGGTGCTTTTTTCTTTGTGATTCTGGGATGCGCAAGTTTCTTGAAGAGCAGGTGAACAAGCAAAAAAATATAGATATAAATCAAAATATAAATATAAATGTAAATATAAATAAATAAATATATATATATATAGACATATACATATATGTTAGAATCAAAACAAGCAAAAAAAAGGGGGTGTGCTTTATTCTCTTCCCGCGTGTACATAACAGAGAGCAGTGCAAGGTCCAGGAAGACAGCCTGACCGTGAAGTTTGTGTTGGAAGTCCGCCCGGCCTACACCTCTGACCCTTACTAGCTGAGTGAGTACACTTTACACTTTTTGGGATCCTATAACCCCCTATAGAAAACCCTAAACCCTAAACCCTAAGCCCGCTTTTTGGGGCTTATGAACTCAGCAACTAAGGACACGGTCACCGTGCCCCGCCTCAGCGAGCGCGGCGACCCCCTGATTCTGGCGAAGATCCTTAGGGACGAATTATGGGCCCTGAAAGGGTTTAGGGCTCATATGCCTTATGAAACGAATCCTAGTAGCTATAGGGTATATGACCCCTAAGAGGGTTTAGGGTTCATCTTACCTTGTAATAAGAATTATAAGTAGCTCCAGGGCATACAACCCCCAAAATTTTAAGGGCTTCTTAACGGTCCCCAAACCCTAAACCCTAAACCCTAAACCCTAAACCCTAAACCCTAAACCCTAAACCCTAAACCCTAAACCCTAAACCCTAAACCCTAAACCCTAAACCCTAAACCCTAAACCCTAAACCCTAAGCCCAAGGATGGTTCCGGAGCAGACCTTGAGCCAGGACATGAGGGCCCTGTGGGAAGGAGGCATGGGCAGCGACGTGGACTTCATGGCGGCCGGGCGATGCTTTGGACCCAGAGACTCCCAAAGCCCCTTAATTGGTTTGGGGTTTAGGGTTTAGGGTTTAGGGTTTAGGGTTTAGGGTTTAGGGTTTAGGAATATCCCTTAGCTGGTAGCATCGGAGCCCCCAATATGATTGTAAGGTATATTCCTTAGCTAAGGGGTTTTGGAGTCTCTGGGGAAGGGGTTTTTGGAACGGTATCCTCTAGAGTGAGGTTATCTGCCCTGCGTAGCAAGCTGTCTCAAGACGCTTCGTGAGGGGGGCGAGTTCGGCTGACCGAGGTGGAGGGTCAGGTGGTGAAGGCCCATTCGCAGATCCTCTGCGCGCGATCCCATGTTTTCGAGAAGCAGCTGACGGTGGGCTTGCGGGAGTCGGTGTCGAAGGTGATTGTCATCGAAGACTGCGAGCCGGAGATCTTCAAAGCTTCTAGGACCTGGAGTAGGCACCTTTTTTTCCCTTTTTTGGGGGTGGGGTTCCAGTATAATCCCCTTAATCCGAAAAAGGTGCCCTTTTCATTCCTAGGTTACTCCCGCGTCTAGGCTTTCTTGCAATTCCTCTACACCGATGACCTCACCGGGGTGAAGCATCGGATTGAGCAGAGCGTAGGGGAGATCGCGAACAAGGGCAAGGCAGAGCTGTTAAAGACACAAGGCCTGCTGGCTGTCAGCCACAAGTACGAGGTGACCAGGTTACAGCTTTGGTGCGAGATGCGGCTGTGCGAGGAGCTCAGTACCTTGGGGAGATGAACCTTAAAGTTGGGGTCATATACCCTGTATACTACTATAATTCCCATTAAGGTACATGAGCCATAAACCCTTTTAGGGTTCATACTTCGTCCCCAACAAGGTACATCCAATGTTTGTGGCATCTTGAGCCAAGCGCACCTCTTGCAAGCCAAAGAGTTGGAAAGGGCTTGTCTCTCCGTCATCAAGAAGCAGATGGCGGAAGTGGTCAAGCTGCCAGAATATGCCGACCTCATGCGATCCTGCCCTGAGGTCATGTTGAAGATCAGCCTGTTCTCTGCAGGCGTGCCCGACACAGAGGCTGCTGCGGCCATGGACGCGTACGCGACGCGGAGAAGAGACCATCACTGTCAGCAGGAGCCATAGTCAGGTCATCTGAGGCCGTGCCATCTCGTTTAGCTGATGGTTTCGGGTGTACGCCGCGAGTGATTCAGCCGCGTCAGCTGTGGAATTTTAGACGATTCTGCTAGGACCCTTGGCATCTTTCCGGGTGGCGTCGCCCCCCCTTCTTTGTAGCGTCCCAGGCGCTGATGCGCCAAAAAATCCGTGTGAGAAGCGCGCGCAGCATCCGAAGTAGGGGAAGCGAGAGATTTGTTGCAGCGTACGAGATTCCGCGACTTCGGACTTGGGCAACCTGGGCGTCTCGCGCCGCAACTCCGAGCTCCGCTCAAGTGAGTATAGTATTCGCAACACCACCTGAACTAACGTGAACTAGAAACGTGAACTAGATTCCCAGGTAGTCACGCTGCTGCCTTGGATCCTAACCCTCAGCCTGTAACGCCGGGACCCAAAAGACACCGGTAAACCCTATAGCCTAAGGGGCCTAAGGAGCCTAAACGATTTAAGTCTTACAACTTACAACTGCTGGCGACAGAAGAACGTCGAATCTTGGAGGGTCCCAGAGTCATGAACAACAGCTGCTCTTGTCGCTTTTCCACCTTACTTTCTGCATTTAGGGTGCATCGGGAATCACCCCCTGTTTTTGAGGCTCGCGGCAAATTGCAAACGGGGTTGCACGGACTGCGATCCTAAAGTATCCGCCTAAGGCATTTCGCCTGTCGGAGCACTTATCAACCAGGGATTGAAACACTCCATGTCCAAACTCAACCCATAACACCGAACCCCCTGAAGCGCTCCATGGTGAGATGGGAATTGAGGCTCTAGACTCTAACCGAACCCTGAACCCTAAACCCTAAAAACCCTGAACCCTAAACCCTAAAAACCCTGAACCCTGAACCCTAAAAACCCTGAACCCTAAATAGGCCCTGGACTAAGGTGCTCTCCACGCGCCAGCTGTGCCCTTCCTTGTCATCGCTGGTCGTGCTGCCAGAGGAGCTTGCTCTTGACTCGGGCACTGCAGCACTCTAAAAAACCCAAAACCCTATAACCTAGACCCCAGTCCCTAGACCTTAAACCCTAAACCCTAACTCCTAAACCCTAAACCCTAAACCCTATTGAGGGCTGTCGGAACCTCCGCGGGGAACACTTCCCAGAGGAGCCCTACTTCTTCGCCGCGAGCCTGTGCCGGAGGCCCCTGCGCGAACCCAGCCTTGCCAAGGTTTAGGGTTCAGGGTTTAGGGTTTAGGGTTTGGGGTTTGGGGTTTGGGGTTTAGGTTACTGGGTTTAGGGTTTAGGGTTTAGGGTTTAGGGTTTAGGGTTTAGGGTTTAGGGCGTTTTTGGGGAGTTAGGTACCAAAAAACTATTTAGCATGGTTTTTTTGGGTACGCACCCAATGCCATAAGAGTACTACAAATGGAACATCTGGGCCAATGCTGCAGACCTGGGGGGCATATCTGTGACTCCAGATGCCTGGGCGCCTGCACCTGAGATGGTTCCATGAGGGTCTAGGGTTTAGGGTTGTAGGGTTGTAGGGCTGTAGGGTTGTAGGGTTGTAGGGTTGTAGGGAGGGTTGTAGGGTTGTAGGGTTTAGGGTTGGAGGGTTGTAGGGTTTAGGGTTTAGGGTTTAGGGCAGCGACGATGGGGCATGACACCGCCTCATGAAGCCCTCTTGGCTCGCAGGCCGTCTGCCAAGCTGGAGCGCTCCATCACGGCCCTGCGCCAGGCCGCATTCGAACGATAGGGTTTAGGGTTCATGGTTTAGGGTTTACAGGGCTTATAAGCCCTAAGCCCTAAACTTAAACCCTAAACCCCAAACCCCAAACCCTAAACCCTAAACCTCGCAAGTTCATCGCCATTGCTGCCCTGTGTCACTAAAGCCTCGGGGCCGGAGAGACAGGCGGACATCGACCTGATGGACCCCTGCTCGCCACTTTTCCGGGAGGCTGGTGACACACATGGTTTGCATCTTAGTATGAATACGAATATTACTCTTATTCTTATTGAGTTTCATATTAGTCCAGGGATCTAAATATATAAATATGAATATCAATAAAGAAACAAATAAATAAATATCAATATAAACATATGTATATATATATATATATATATTTATTTATATGTGTATGTATTTATGTGTATTATATATATATACATATATATATATATATGTATATGTATATGTATGTGTATATATATATGTATATGTACAAATGCGTGTGTGAGAGAGAGCGCTGAATCCTTTGAGGATCTCCATTATGGTGCAGTCCTTTTGGGTTAGGAGTGCCCCCCAAAATGCTCAGAATCTAAAGATGCAGCCCCCAGTTGTTTGATGGTCTTTTTCGCACCCTGAGCCTTGCACGCCCGTGCCTGCAGTTCATTTCAGTTTTTCTTGGCGGGGGGATCCCCCACCCCCGAAACCCTAGCGGCTAGGGCCTAGCCCTAAGAACACTTGTGGAGTGAACAAGTGAGGGTTCCGGACAAGACCCAACCCCCGGAAACCACAGCCTTTCCTTAACTCTGCAAATTCCCAACACGAAAACCTCAAACCCTAAACCCTAAAACCCTAAACCACTCAAAACACCAAACCCTAAATTCCTTAACCGGAGCAACCTGAAACCCCAAACCCTAAAACCCTAAAACCCTAAAACCCTAAAGCCCTAAAGCCCTAAAGCCCTAAAACCCTAAAACCCTAAAACCCTAAAACCTCTGAACGTTGGCAATTCAACAAAGCTAGGAGTTCGCGCAGCGGGACTGGGTGGACCTGCTGCGCCGGCATCTTGGTCGCAGCAGGGTTTAGGGTTTAGGGTTTAGGGTTTAGGGTTTAGGGCTTATGGTTATTCTTATTCTTATACCAGCGCAACGTTAATGACTAGCACTTCTATTCTTCTTGCTGTTTACTTTTGCGTCTATCACTATTCTTCTCGATTTGTGCTATTATTTCTCACGAGTGTTCCTGTTGTTCTTTGCGGATGATCAGTGCTAGTCGTGTTGTGATGTTCTCTTGTCGTGACTTTGCGGTTTCGGGGGCCATACAGGATGAGGTAAGGCTGCACGGCCGTCGTAGTGGAAAGCGGGCTGCTAGTGAGACACTGAAGAGCCGCAAGACCCTGACCGACCTTCTTGCAGCTTAGCTATCGGTTAGAAGCCCTATATAAACCCTAACCCTAAACCCGAAACCCCAAACGCCAAAACCCCAAACCCCAAGCCCCTAACCCTAACCCTCAACCCCAAACCCTAAACCCGAAACCCTATAAACCCTAAACCCTAAACCCTGAACCCGTAAGGGTTTTTGAGTTTCGGACGTTTGCGAGGTTTCTGCGGCCTCGGCAGGCTCCTTGGCTCTGCAACCTTGCTGCCTTCCAAACCTCCCAAAACCTGCTATGCATTCTTGTAGCCTGTGCTTAAGACTCCTAGAAGGTTGTTTTCTACCATTTTTTGGGTTTGGGTTCTTCTTGTAGCCTACTCTTTAAGACTCCTAGAAGGTTGTTTTTCTACCATCAAGGGTTCAGTAAGGTTTTGGATTCGGTTTGGTTCTCAAGGAGGCCGAAGCCAAAGCCCAATATGAGCGTGAAAGTCTATACCCGACTATGATTATGGGCCCCGGGCCCTGGTATTCAGGGTTTAGGGTTTAGGGTTTGGGGTTTAGGGGTTAGGGTTTAGGGTTTAGGGTTTAAATAAGGATGTTTAGGGAAGTCAGCCTGGTAATCAACTACAAACACACTTTTTGGCCCGTCAACTAAGGCGCGCCCCCTCCCTCCCCTCCCCCCTTTTTGGGGTTCAGCAGGGTTTGGTAGGGTTGAGTAGGGTTCAGTAGGGTTTTGTCGGGTTTAGTAGGGTTTAGGGTTTAAGGTTTAGGGTTTAGGGTTTAAGGTTTAGGGTGGTTTGGGGAGAACTACGCAATGAAAGCCAGGTCAGGGATGATACCACCAGCGATGGAGAGACGGATGGCGGCGCGGCTGACAAAGTCAGTCAGCCAAAGCACGCTGAAAACCCCAAAGCCCTCCGCCCACGAAAAGTAGCCCCTTCAAGCCCTAAACCCTAAACCCTAAGCCCTAAGCCCTAAACCCTAAACCATGTCCTGATTTGGAGTATTGAACCAACTTTGGGGTATTGAACCACAGGGGCGGGCCATACAAGTAAAAGGTCAAAGATTTAGACGAGCCTGCGAGGGAAGGAGAGGCTCCATTCCAGGATGGGCTACCAGGCCCCGATAATTCCCTTTTTTGGAGGGTTCAGAGTTTCGGGTTCGGGTGTTTAGGGGGAGAATAGCCCATCCTGGCTGCTAGCTTTGGGGCGATCCTGGTCTGAGGTTTTGTGGTGTGGGGGGGGCGACGGAGGGGCGCAATTGGCTGCCCTAGTTACAGACTCCAGACCTCGAGTGGGTGCTTGTTCCCCTTTCTCCAAACACTCTCCCCCACGCCCCCCAAGCCGAAAACCCTTTCTAGACCTGGCCAGGTTCCCTTACTATACCCGAAAACCCTAAAACCCCAAAACGATAAAACCCCTAAACCATCATTCTCGAGGTATACTCTGTGACCTAGGGCTGCTCTTTCTGGACATCCGGGTCCTTCTCAAACCCTAAAAGCCCTAAAAGCCATAACAGCCCCGAAGCTCCCCCCCAAAACACCTTTACAATCCCTAAAAGATTTCGGGCACAAAGCCCCACAGACCCGAAAAGACAAATCTCCCCTCAAGACCCTCTAAACGCCCTAACAAAGAACAAGGGGAACATAGGAAACAAAAAAAAAAATCTAAGCGACCCGCCAAGGCGAGCACTGGGCCGGGGACTTTGGGCCGCTTGGACCCAAACGAGCATCGAGACCTTTTAGGGTTTTGTTAGGAGGGCGATAGCGTTTCGGGTTTTACGGTTTTTTCGGCTGCCCTTTAGGTGGGGGCGTTAGGCCCCCATGCATGCCCCCATAGTTGTGGATTTAGGCTGTTTTGTTTTTTGCCGGGTTTGGGAGTTGCAGGAAGGGCTTTGGGCCCTTTAAGCCACATTTCTACTTCCCACGATGCTGAGGGAACTCCACCTTCCCCCCCCCCCCCCCCCGAGGTTTGGGGAAGCCGTGCGTAAGTGTGAGGGTTCCCGGGTACCCAAACCCTAAACCCTAAACCCTAAACCCTACACCCTACACCCGATAAGCCCTAAAAACTGGAGGTTTCAGGGGTGGTTTCTTCTTGGGCTTCGCGTAAGTCAGGCTCTGAACGCAAGCCCTCGCCGAATGCTGAACCTATGAACGCTAAACCTTGGGATGTTAGGGTTTAGGGTTCAGGGTTCAGGGTTCAGGGTTCATAATAGGGGGTGCTATAATCCCCGATTAAGGACTGTTAGTTTAACCCAATAGCCCCCGCAACCCGAATCCCTTCCTTAAGGACCCTACAAGGGTTTTCCAGTAATGGCCACAAAATAGGTGATGGGTTTGGAAGGTGAACCGTGAACGCAAAGTTCCTACACCCTGCCGCAAACTTCATATTTGGGTGGTTGTCAAAATTATGATTCCTTTTTAGGGTACCCTAAATATTAGGTGCCAGCCATATAATCGAGATCCAAAAAGGGACCATAGTTTTTGACAACCACCCATATGCGCCTTTGCATCCCTGCAGAAAAGGTCAGACTCCGATGGCGCGGAAACCTTCTACTCCGACTTCACCGACTTCTCGCGTTGAGTGTTCGCTGAGCGTTCGGACGGGGGTTTCCATGGTTGCTACATGAAGCTTTAGGGTTCATGATGTTTAGAATTTTTGGGTTTGGGGCTTAGGGTCATTGTCGCTAGGTGGGTTGAGGTGTTGAGTAGGTGCTTTTAGGGGTTCTAGGGGGGTTTAACGTGTCGGGGCCGATGAGGGCGTTGCCTTCAACGTTGGCCCTCGAATCCGGAGGGCGCCCCGCAATGTGTACAGCATCTTGCGCGCGGCCCGAGAAAAGGATGCCTATCTTGCATGAGGTGGGATGTGCCCCCTTATGCTAACAGTCCTTACTTAGGGATGATAGTTGGTGTATGATGATCCCTACACCCTAAATATAAACCTTAAACCCTAAACCCTAAAGTTAGTATAAGTGGGAACATCCCAGGGCATGAGGTGTGCTTGCATGGGCTGCACGGTACGACGTATCGGTTCTTTTTGGCTTGTCTACAGGTTACATGCACAGCTGGAGTTGCGAACAAGAAAAGAGCTGCAGTTGGCCTTCTGTGCAGAGGGCCCTCCGGGCCCTCCGAAACCAGAAAGAGCAAACAGCAGGGCAGTTCTCCCATGAAACTGTGGGACGCAAAGCATGCTTCGTAAGTGCGTCGCTTGCGCGATGTGACGGGCCATGGCTACGAATCCCCTTCTCACAGCCACGGGCACGCCTCGACCTCGAAACCAAAATAGAGAAGGCCGCGTGCACGCGTGTGCAGCAGCGTTGCCTTGCTGAGCTCGCCACCGCTTGAGCTCCCCGGTGTCGGGGCGAGCAACCCGCGAGCCCGCCTGCAGATGCTTGCGTTGCGGCGTTGCGACACGGGCGATGCCGAGCACCGAGAGGCCAGCGCTAGCTGAGTCTGGCATGCCTCCTGACTCGAGACACACGGGCCGCCAGCTGTCGACGAATGTTGAGCATCCAACAAGACGTGTTGGACTGCTGGCCCTGTCAAAAACTGTAAGGCGCTTGTCGTCCATTGCGCTTTCAGGCAGCGATGACTTCTAACACCATGCACCGCGCCGCATAGGTTCCGCTTTGCATAAAGCGTGAGCAGGTGCAAATGACGTTTGCTGTAACCTGCACAGTGACCCTAAACCCTACGACTGACGACGTGAGAGTCGACAGCTGAATCTGCCAGCAGGTCTTGCTGCGGTGTATATGGTGAACGACGCATATATAGTGTGGGTTGAATAATCGTGATGAGTGTGAGAACTTTGCTGCCTACCCTGGCCCCGCTCTTCCAGCTCGGGCCCAGCTCGGGTCAGAATCGCAACCGGGCTGTCGAAGACTCCATCGCTTATGTACTTATAAGCAGTCCCATGTCGGGCAGCCCTGGCCTAGAAGGCGAGGGCACGTTTCACGTTCCGAACGCCACGTCGCCTCGCCAAACTCCCTGGCCCAGCAGAGCGATGGGCCGCTGGGGGGGTTGCAGCTCGAATCTTGACCAAGCTGTTGGCAATGCCAGCGCGCATCTCCATGGATGCAGTTGCAGTGTCAAGTGCCGCGAGTGCCCGAACCGGCTTGGGACATGTGCCAGACACGCGTCCACGCGGGGAGCGCCCTTGGCAGATGACGGGAGTTGCAACAATCGTGACTTGTGACTGCTGGCCCATGTTGCGTATACGAGGCGTGGGCAAGGGCGGCGCCCTGCGCAGGTAGCTGCTTGCGAGATGGGGTTGTAGCATCCATCGATCGGTCCTCGATGGACTCCGGGATTCCTCGGCGCTAAATGATGCTGAAAGCGGAATCCTGTGAGTGGACGTGCGGTAGCTGCCGGGTGCACCACAGCCGGGTTGAGGATTTCGGGTTTAGGGTTTATATAGGGTTTAGGGTTTAGGGTTTATACCCAACACCGGGCATAGCCCCGCATAGCGCTCCCGAGCGATGGCGCAACACGCATTCATCACGTTCTCGTGGCACCCGCACCATATCATTGCCCACAAATGTCTGTTTGCAAGCGCGAGTACCTATTTGTTCCCTACCTTTGCTTCCATGGTCGTTGTGACGTCCAAGATACTGTACTTGTAGCAGCATGTGACGGAAGATCCACAATTCACCTGGGACCCTGTAGTAGACCCAGGCTGCACATGGTTAGGGGATTCCATGATTTACTGTGCTATGCCGCATGATTGGCCAGCACCAGCAGCAAACCAGCAGCACCAGGAGCACCACCAGCAGCACCACCTGGAGCACCACCAGCAGCACCACCAGCAGCACCAACAGCAGCGCCAGCAGCAGCACCAGCAGCAGCACCAGCAGCAGCACCAGCACAACCAGCACCACCAGCACCATGAGAAGAACCAGCAGCTTCTGTGATGTGGTTCTGAGAAACATGAACGTGCGTGCAGCAACACAGCAGTGCCGCACGCACTGACATCATGGTTCGACAAGGCACCTACCGTACATACTACATTTTTCGCATGAGCATGTCCTTCCCACTGACCGAAATGAGCGAACGTGTGCGAGCAAAGACGTCGTCCTACCATGGCCTTGAGCTGACAGAGATAAGCGCGTGCGCACGCAACTTCGCAGAACAGACGAGCCCGGGAACTCCATGAATCACGATCAGAGAACAACACGCGCAGCAGTTTTCTTGATGCATTGTTGTTATTATTGTTGTTGATGCTCGATTCGTATCAATATCATGTCATAATCATGAATGTGGCTTTACTTATGACTCTGTCTCACTGACTCTGTCTCACATCGTTCAAGGACATACCCCTCTTTTCTATTGTGGACGCATGGACTTTGACGAGAATTGGGACGTCGCAAGGACGCAAAAAAAATTGTGCATGAACACGTTGCGCACGTTGACAAAGAGACAAACGTGCGTGCGCACGCCTTCGCCACCACAGTAGCGTATGCCCCTGTCCCCATGCAGTAGCATCATTTCGCGACCGCACCGCTATCACGTGGAGAAGTGCTCATGTGGCGCGAAACATGCAGGTTTTGTTGCGGCATCATGAGACAGTGGCTTGCCGCAACGATAGTGCCTGAACGAGGATACCTGTTTCTTGCTCCCACTGGTGATGGGCATATCTACAGTTCAACATAGTGAACCATGGAAAGAAACATGCGCGGCGTATCTCTGCAAGGCCATGATCCATCCGACCTCGCGCGCGGCTGGCATCGCACAGCCTCCAAGGCGGTGGAAGATGCCCTCATCTCCACGATTGGCGAGGGGTCCGCTGCCCTGCTACACTCCCAGGCTGGTCTTTTCTTTTCAGATCGCATTGTCGTCCACAGTTACTGACGATAGTGCCTCTCCCCGCTGGCCGCTCCATGCGTCGTGCGTTTCATCATTTGGTTCGCAAAAAGAAGGCCTTGTATTGGCATAGTTGGCTTCAGGCGCAAGAACGTGCCTCAGCTGCATGCCCTCAGCTTGCAGCGCGTAATATTCGTCGGCAGTTTGGGCCCTCTCGGCGCCCGCTACCTGCTAACATGCGTTCATCCTCTCCACATGGTGGCACTGTTGAGGGTGCAGCATGTATTGATGCTTGGCGTTGCCATTTTCGAGACGTGCCTGTCTCCGCGGGCTCCGTTTCTGCAAGCTCGCCTGACCTGGAGTCAGATGTCCGTCGTTTGCGCCGTCAAATGTATGCCACTGCCAGTCGCTTCGATTTCCCCTTTAGTGAGCCTGAACTCCTGCAGGTCTTGCAACAGCTGCCCGCAAACCGTGCCCCTGGCCCGGACGGCCTGACATACGAACTCTATCGGATTGACGACGGTACTATGCGCAACGCACTCCTTTCTTTCTTTGAACTTGTGCGCTGCTGGGCGGTGGTGCCGTCAGTATGGCGCTCTGCGGTTGTCACGCCGCTGCACAAAACTGGCGCTGAAGATGAGTTCACCAATTACCGGCCCATCAGCCTGCTCTGTTGCGGCCTCAAGGTCTTTGAAAGGCTACTCCTCACGCGTCTCCTCCCGCATGTGAACCCGCGCATTGATGAGAGCCAAGCCGGCTTCAGGTGGGGCGCCGAGGAACAAATCTATACCCTCGTCGAAACGCTGCGCCTCCGTGCCCGCAAACGCACCTTTTGTGCTTTTGTTGATGTGCGCAAAGCGTTCGATGTAGCATGGAGAGATGCCGTCCGCGTCCAGCTCGCTGCTCTCGGTGTCACAGGCTCCACGTGGCGGGTTTTGGATGACCTTCTCGGTGCAACCAGTGCGAGAGTGCTGGTTCATGGCACGTTGTCTGAGCCATGGGATGAACGGGCCGGCGTCCGCCAAGGCAGCGTGCTTGGCCCACTTCTGTTTAACATCCTTTTTGATGGTATTTCGGCCGCCGTTCGTGCAGCTTGTCCTGGTGTCCCTCTGGGTCGCGGGCCTCGCGCGCCGCGTGTAACTTTGTTGTTATACGCTGATGATCTAGTTGTTTTGGCCGATTCGGAGAGTGGCCTGCAACGTGCACTTGACGCCATTGGCGCTTGGGGAGCCCGTTGGCGTTTCTCCTTTGGCATAGGCCCCGATAAGACAGCTGTTCTTGCTGTCGGCTGTAGGTCTCGTGACTTTCGGTTTGTGCTTCAGGGCTCCGCTGTCCCTGTCGTCCCTGAGTATCGCTACTTGGGTGTCATTTTCCAGGCTTCCAAAAGGTGGAACAAGCAAACCGACAGGTTGATCTCTAAAAGCACCCGCAAATTCCACCAATGCATTGCCTGGGCAGAAAGCCGTGGTTTGCACACGAGTTTTCGCCGCAGCCTATTTCAGTCATATGTGCTGCCTTCAATGACCCATGGTGCTGCTTTCCTTGATGACACGTCTGTACGGCGCTTGGATAAGCATGTGCGCCAGCTGGGGCGGCGCTTGCTGTGTTGGCCAGCAGGCACACCCAATGCAGCCGTTTTGGGTGAACTCGGTTGGGACCCATTCGCGGTGCAAGTCCTGCGTGGGCAAGCCAGTTTGCTTGGTCGCCTTTCTTCGGCCACCCCTGGTGGCATGCACCGTGGTCTTGCTGCTCGGGTCTTTCGCTACGCTGTTGGCGTGCCAAGTTCTTGGGCAGCTGGAGCTTCTCGAGCCTTGAATTCGGCAGGCGTGACGTTGCCTCATGAATTTGGCTTGGGTCCCGGTAGCAACCTCCGCGTTTTGCAGCGTTGGAGGCATCGTTGTGTGCGCCCAGTCCTCGACCGCGTCGGTTGGCGTGCGCGCCAGGTTGAGGCATCTGAACTTGCATCGCTGGCCACCTTCATCCAGTGTCATCCTGACTTGGATTTTTCACAAAATGTTCATGCTTCTCGGCTGCCATCCTCGGCGGTCAGGGAATGGACATTGGCTAGGTGTGGCCACCATCCCTTCTAGGATGTTGGAGTGCAGAGGCCCGACTCCTGTGCAGCTGCCGAGCACGGTCCGCACCAGCCCGCCTGCGAGCAAGCAGCTCCGCTGCATGGGTGCAGAGATGGTCGGGTTCTTTGCTTGTGCAGCCGATGCAGCCGCCAGGTCCCTTGCGGCCTGGCTCATGTCGTTGCCCCTCCACGGCACCGCCAACATCGATGGCCCTCTCCCCCACCTAAGCGACGTCCTCACCCAGCACCGCCTCGACAGCCCACCACTTGCCCGTGCGGCACCGCACTGTGCACCGCGACCAGGCCACTTTCGTGCTTTGGTCAAGAACAAACACTACCAACCTACACCGTCCAGTCCAAGCCACCTCAGGGTAAGTGCTTTGTCGTTTCGCCTGGCGGCCCGTGCAACAACAGCTTGTGGCCTTGGCAGACCATTGCTGCTCATCACAAACACTGCCAGTTGCATGCCCCGCCAATGGCTCGCCAAAGGTCCAGCCATATAATATGTCATGGATGCTATGGCCCCGGATGCTCCCGGAAACACGCGCGTTCTCATCGCGCGGGCATGGACGCTCTGGCCAGCACGGACATTCTCATCGCGCGGGCATGGGCGCACAAACGAATGTACGCCCTCGGTAACAGAGACGTTGCTATCACGTGGGCAACACGGACGGTCTTGTCGCGCAGGCATGGACGCTTTGGCCACTGGATGCTCTCGCAAACACGGACGTATTCATCACACGGGCACGGACGGTTTGGCCACTGCTCTGGGTAACGCGGTATTTTTTTTTTTTGGCCGATGGATGGTTTCGCAAGCACGGGTGTTTCCATCGCCGGCATGGACGCTCTTCTGCGTGGCCACTGGATGCTTTCCGAAACATGGACATTCTCATCGCGCCGGCATAGGCGCTGCTGTGACTGGATGCGCCCTCGGAAAGGGCTAAAAGCTCCAGCCGCCGGGTGCGCCCGAAACACGGACCGTTTCATGGCGCCGGCATGGACGCTCTGTCCATTGGATGCCCTCAGGAAAAACATTTTGGGTTTTGTTCACTTTTGGGGTGCGCACGGGTTGGACACCCGCGAAACATAACCCGAAACATACCCGCGAAAGACACCCTGATCTCAACACCTGTCGCCCGCCCCCCCCCATTATAACACAAACCCGATCCAACCCGTCCCAACAAAGGTCATGTCATATCACGTCATGTCATGTCATGTCATGTCATGTCATGTCATGTGATTCATGTGCAGGTTTCGTCAGCATATCAAAAGCACATGCAATCGGGTTTGTTGGCAGCTGCTGATTGTTTCTCGGAGCAAGAAGCCTTTGTAGCAGCCGATGAGAAGACGAACTCTCACAGAACTTTCGAACTCAAAGAACCTGCGAAGAAGACAGAGTCCGAACATTCCGGGGCAATTTTGTCGCACGTCATGATCTCGACACATTTACAAAAGTATTCAAAACCCCAACGGAATCGGAAAAATTAGAAAAATCATGCGACTCAACACTTGTGATTGCGTTTTTCATGTTATGTTTTGGAGGTTTTTTTGCACCCCGAGCACATATGACCACAAGCAAGTTTTTACGGGCAATGATCAACGCAGTAGTTCTGTTGCACATCTTAGTATTGCAGTACTTACCGCATTGCGTTGCCGACATGTCCGATGATGAGACCATGGCATCAGTGGACACGCTTCTGCCGCCAAGCCCCTTGGCTAGTACTCGTGGCATTTTGTTGTTCAGGGGATGGATTCTTCTTGTTGTGCATGTAGCTCAGCTGAACGATAAGAAAAGTTGGGCTTTAGCTTCCGCAGGTGAAGCGCTGAAACAGTTGGTGTTGCTTGGTGCCTTTGTGACTTGGCTGGCCCTTGGCGCGTGCAAATGATCGTTTGCTCGACGACCCGCCGCTCACGTTTGTGCACGCAGCAATGACAAAGGCCGACGAAACGACCGTGGCTGAGGCTGTCGAGGCGCACAAGATAAACGTCACCAACTGTTCCAGGAGTAGAGTTCTTCAATGGCTAGAGGGATCCATGATAGATTATCGGGCGTTGTCCGCAAACCCCTCTTTTTTTTTGCGGGCGAAAATCTGAGATAGGAGAGCGCAGCGGAAGGCGCAGCGGAAGGTGCAGCGAAAGGGATAATATGGTTGATAGAATGTCGTGCCCTCTAACCTTCAAACCCAAGAGCAAGTGCGTTTAGGGACCTTGCGTAGACGCACCCATGGTGCAGGTTTCAGCCCATTTGGGGTTCATACTGATAGAGTATCATGCCCCTTAACCCTCAAACCCCAAAGCGAGTGCGTTTAGAAACCGCGCGTATAAAACGCTCCCATTGTGCAGGTTTCAGCCTGTTTGGGGTTCATACATACAGTGCTTTGCTCCCCAACGAGTGCGTTTCAGGACCATGTCTAAACGCACCCATCCATATGGTGCAAATAGGGGGAAAAATGTATGTACGTTGCACGAGTCCTCCAACACGAAGTTGGACCCTGATCTTCACTTGGAAAACAAACGGGTCGAGGACGTAAGTAGGGTTCCAAGACCGCGTGTTTTTCGCGATTTTCAGCGCGCGCCATACTCAGGGAGCAGTCGCCGTCAGTTGCGGAAATATTGTTCTCCAACACATGCCAAAGTGAATGCTTTCGAGCATCACGCATAAAACCCGCTGCGACACCTGTCATAGTCGTAGGGCCTCGTAGGCTCCGTAGGACCCACTGACCGGACACAAAGCGGGCAGGAGTAAAAGAGCGTTGAAAAAATATGTTTCCCGATGCAGCTCAAAAGCACTGGCAGGGACAGCTGATCATGAAGCAGCGATCAGAGGGCGACGTGCGTTTTGTGGGGCCTGAAAACGCACACAGATTCCCTGCTGCTTGCTTGTACTTGGTCTTGTCGACCATCTCCTCGACGCAAAAGAACACCGAAACCAGCACATTGATTCCCCTTCTTGATCCTTCTTGGGATGAGAGGGCAACGTGCCTTGTGGGTGGCCTGAAAAGCGCACACTCAGTTTGGACTTGGTTATGTCGACCATTTGTCCAGCATCACAACACCAGCACATTGATTCCTGTTCTTGGGATGAGAGGGCAAAGTGCGTTTTGGGGGGCCTAGAAAACGCACACAGCTTCCCTGCTGCTTGTACTTGGTTATGTCGACTATATCATGCAGCGCTTGGTGCTTTTCTGGGAACAAGAGAATCGGACAACGCCCGACTAGATAAATTACGTTCCGTAATTTTGGCGCCTGCGCAGCTTGGCGCCTGCGCAGCTTGGCGCCTGCGACATGTGTGCTCGTGCGAGGAGAACCCAAAAAAATAGAAGGTATTGGCGGTATGGGGTTCTTTGGGTCGGGCGGTTTCGTGCCTAGGAGTTCAAAAGGGTTTTATCTAGGCCATCCACTCTCTAAAAAAAAACGTTGCCTTGGGTTTACCACTTTGCTTGTGCGAACGGAACTAATTCATTCAATGCCTTTCATGTTCATCCTGTTGTCTGCAGGGTCTTGACCGCCAACCGAGCTCAGCAACACGGCTGCAACGAATTCAGGTTTCACTTAGAAGATCTTAGAAGGAGCATGGGGCAACGGCGATAGCCAGGACTTGTTTTCTCATGCGGGCGCCTGCTAGGAAACTTTTTGGGCCGCGATCGCCGATCTGCTGGGCCTCTCCGCTGCCGGCGCCACTGAACGGCTGCAGTGGCGTGGATGCATGTGCGGATGCATTCCTTGGGCTGCCGACTTCACCATGGCTGCCACGTGAGAGAACAATAAGCTTCACAAATAAGTAAACTTAGTTTTTCGATAGCGTTTGGTGGTGTTGGCACTGTTCTGAGATCGGCACTGGCGAATGAAACCGTGTTGCAGCGCTGCCCAGTGCCTCGGACCTACAATTATTTCCCGATTTTAAGAGCAACCCCTCGGACGTCATGCGGCATTTGCGTTTGTATTTGTGCTTTGCCGGTTCTCGTCGCCGCCACCGAGTCTGCTTTGCAATGCTGCAGGATTGCGCGGTGCTGTGGGGAGTTGGACGGCAGCTTGGCTTGTTCGATGCGCCACAGCTGCACTAGAGTCACTAGATCGGTCGACCTTCAATGGGCAAGGTCCACACCTTGTAATCCACGCCACGCCGCTCATCCTGGACATGTCATGTCCGATGGCAGGCGCCGTTGCCGGACGCATCCCCCATTACGCAGCTGGCGCGCAAGCATCGGTTGTCGGAGGCGGCGCCGATGGTCTGAACGCCATGAAGTAGTGGTCAAAATTTGGAGTTTTACGATATAGTTAATACGTGACCCCTAATATGGAGTAATATAGAGCCCCAAGTGGTCGGATCCCCTTGTAATGTTTTTATTTAAAAATGTGAACCTCACATTTTAACCGCCCCCTCAATTGAGAAACCCCACGCCCGGAACTCAATAATGAACCTCCCCCCCCTCAATTAAGGAACCCCGGCCCAGGGCCCGATTCTGTTTTCTGTGGATTTTTTTGGGTAGGTCAGGGCTTGGGGGCGGCCCAGGACAGCTCGACCTCCCTCCGAAGCAAGTAAAAGTCAGTTGAGACGGGGTTTAAGGCGGTAAACATTCATCAGGAGCATGATTAGGATCCCAATAAGGAACCTCGTATATCGTAAATCCCCCTGTTGACCCTGGCTTGGGGGAGAGGTGTCCGCGACGTATGCCGCCGCTGCCGCGGCCGGCAGCTTCTTGGGCCGCCTCGCCTGGGGCATCCCGGCTGCCGGCTTTCTAATCATGGACCTTGAGCCCTAAACCCCTAAACCCCTATACCCTAAACCACCATGCTCCTCATTTCCGAAACCCCCGGATCTGCTGGAGGCGAAGAGCGCCTCGGGGGCATCGCCGCAGCGCAGCGCCGCGGCGAAGTGGCCGTGCCCGCCACGCTGCGGCAGGGAGGGCGTTGTTTTTCACTACACGATATTTGATGCTTTAAAACCCGCCGTAAATTCCTGAAGTGCGACTGAGTGCTCGTACAGATAGGTATGCAGGTCTATGTATCTGTGTATGTAGTCATATATGTCGTTCGTTGCGGGCTGTATGAGAGCTGAGGTTCGGAATATCCGCGGCGGGTGCATGGAGGCCCTCTGAGACACCTTAACCCGTATAACTTTAGTTATTGGAACCTTACTTACCGTGGTTCCTGCAGTATTCTGATGCATGCTTAGTTGGTTGAGCTTGATTTTGCGGGCCGCATTTTTTAGTATCGCGGGTGCGCGGCCTACGCGGCCTACGCGTCCTCGACCATGCTAACGGCAGAGAAGTCAACTCAGCATTGATAGAGTTGATCCCGGTGCGGCAGCGCTTTTCCAATTTGGGACGCTTTGGTGCTCGTATAGTGCCCGTGGTTTGGGACCTTTGACTTGGGCGTGATCAGTAAACAACCCCATTGACTTGGGCGTGATCAGTAAACAACCCCAGACTTAGTACTGTCGAGAAAGGTTGGTCTGTCTGTTTGAAACGACATTTAGGCAACCCCTTAATTTAGGCAACCCCTTATACCAGCAGTCCTTAATCGGGACGGGTACGAGAATCCCGATTAAGGAGCTGTTAGTATAAGGGGTAAGGGGGAACATCCGAAGTGATGAAACTTGTGCCCGCCAGGCTTTGGAAGCCGTCCTGACGGTGGCGTCCAACGCCGCGCAGGACGGAGCAGGGGGGAGCATCTGCCGTGACATGAAGATCGCCATGGGCATGCGCACTGCAGGAGCACAGTCCCGTCCCTCAGCCGGTCGATGTGGATCACATGATGCAGGCACGGGCAGGATTTTTGGTAGATGTGCTGCAGTTTGGCACATGTATTCTCGACTTGGGTCCATCTGAACATTTTCGGACGAATAATAGTATTGTCTGCAGAAAATTTCAGGATGAGAACGCGGCAAGATGAGCAAGTGAAATCATGTCAAGAGGAATGCGCAAAAAAGAATGCTCATTGCTGTTTGTTGAGTTCCGAGGTGCGTCACGAGGAGCGTGCCTTGGCTTTCGAGTTGCGCACAGGAATAATACTGCACGCAACGGGGGGGTTGGGGGGGGTGGGCCTTACCAGGCAAGCATCCTGCGCGCAAAGTCACACTTTCCCCAGTCAGGTCAAAGTTACGCCCTCGCCTCGCAGCTGGCCGCTGGCCCAAGGAAATCAAGCAGAGAAAGCAGAAACTGCAGGTTTGATGACTTGAGGCGTGGCTCAGGTCGTGGGGCCAAAGAACAGCTGCTCAGTCCAGCAACTCCATGCTGCTAATGTAGTCCAGCTTGAGGATCTAGATTTAGGGACCCTTTTGAGCTTCATGTGACTTAAGGCATCGGATGGGCATGCAGATGGCTTGGCGGCAAAAGCAGAAATGCACCATGGCAGAAGCTTATCTGGACTTTCGATGAGCGCGCCTTTTTTGCGTTTTTTTTGCGGGGCGCGCCATGCAGGTACTCGTATTCCCCCCCCCCCCCCCCACACAAAGAAAGAAAGAACCAAGGCAAAAAAGAGAGAGCAAGGCCCAGAGCCCCTCAATCAGCCCCACCACTGTCCCTTCACAGGCCAGGGTGTTCAGATGTTTAGGGTTTAGGGTTTAGGGTTTAGGGTTTGGGGTTCCTATTTGCGTAGTGGGGGGGGGAGGGAGGTCCTGCGTGAAGAAGATGGAGAGGCCCGAGGAAATCAAGTGCTTGAATTCCTGGAAAAGACCCATGAATTCCCTGAAATACCAGGGTGTAGGGTTCAGATTGGGTCGGGGTTTAGGGTTTAGGGTGAGTCTCTGATCAGCAACCGTCTACTCCCTCCTTTCGAGGGTTCTCTTCTGGCCTTTCAAAAGGTGCTACCAAAAAAAGTGGGCTTCGGGGTAGTTCTTATAAGGTTACTCTTAAAGTTATTCTTAAAGTTATTCTTAAAGTTATTCTTAAAGTTATTCTTAAAGTTACCAAGGTACGAGTCGCCCTGCATTGCCCGAGTCTCATCCAGTCTCAGGCTCTACTTCGGTCGCAGCGCGGTGCTTCCGGGATCTGGGGCGGGTAGCCGCGCGGCGGATGCTCGGATGGACCTGCCATGGGAGTCCTGCGGATTAGGGTTCCCTAAATACCCTGAACCCCAAACCCTACATCCTAAACCCTAAACCCTATAAACCCTAAACCCTAAACCCTTTGAGGATTTAGGGGGCATAGGGTTTTGCCAGGACAGCAGGCATGGTGTTTTTGCAAGGGTGCGCTACGTGCAAGTGAGTATTGACAAGGCCATATTGATGATGGAGGTCGGCCTCTGAGGCCGGCCATGAGACAGCAATGACAGCAACCACCTGCCACAACTCTAAAATAGCATGAGAGACACACATATGGCCTTACCAGGATGGGTTATTATACCCTATAATCCCTTCAAGGCCTTCTATAGGAAACATTATGGGGATTCTAAGGCCTAATATAGCCCAGCCTGGTAAGAAGATGCGCCCGCAACCCGAGGCCGTCTTGGGCCTCCTCTTCGCTGCCTGGCTGCTTCCCAGCGCGTGCCGCCGCTGCCGCAGGGCGCCGGCCGCCACGGTGGCGCAGCGGACGGAGGTCGAGGACAGGGGGGGGGGGGTGGGGGTGGGGGGAGGGAAGCTCTCTGGCCCTTATAAAAAATAAGCTTCTAGTTGTTTCTTGCACATTTGCGGCCCAAGAAAGGATTAAAAAAGGATTTGACTTTTCTGGAGCCAGACGCGCCGCTGAACATTTTGCCCATTCCAAGCGCAGACATGTACAAGGATGTTGCAGCATCCTCGTGCTTCTTTTCCACCACATCCAATGCATGTGTGACGTTTCTCGAGCAAGACGTGCTGTCCGCCCTCCGAACGTGCAAAACAAGGCTGTGTCAGGGATGCAGTGCCAGCAAGTTTTCAGCAAGCTGGCAATGCTTGATGCACGGTCAAAAAGAATGTCTGGATAGGACAGTTTTGTATAAACAAAAGAAACCTTAAACAAAAAAAAAAAAACATCCCCAACAGCCCCTCGAAGATTGAGGGATCGAGGGCTGGGCTTTTCTGGGTGGAGAGCTTTGAGGGTCGGTCAGTTTGGCTGGCGAGGTGGAGAACCCGGTGTGAAAGTAGCGGGGGTCCCTTCTACTAACAGTCCTGAGTAGGGAGAATAGTACCCCCGATTATAATCCCGATGAGGACCGTTAGCATAAAGGGGAACATCCCAGACCTTTTCTTAAACCCAAAGCCCTAAGCCCTATACGCCCTAAACCCTAAACCCTAAACCCTAAACCCGAAACCCTAAACCCCTAAACCCTAAACCCTAAACATCCCTAAACCCTAAACCCTAAACCCTAAACCCTAAACCCTAAACCCTAAACCCTAAACCCTAAACTAAACCCCACATAAATCGGAAACGCCATTGTAGCCGCAGGCCCCGAGGAGCTGCGGATGGCTTCGATATCTTTTGCTTCGGCCTGAGGGGCCCAAGTCGTAGAGGGTTTGGGGTTTAGGCTTTAGGCTTTAGGCTTTAGGGTTTAGGGTTTAGGGTTTAGGGTTTGGGGTTTCAATCTCAAAGGCGTCGCTGGTGGAGCCTCTGGGGGGGCCTCAGGTTTACTTCGCGCGTTCGGTCTTCGATTTAGGAGGCTCAAGGGGGTTATGTAGGGGATTGTCGCAAGCCTTCAGCACAATGCAAGTACAAACTGCTTAATCAACTAGTCCGATCTGGTCCGTAGCCTAGAATCCGGGCATGCAAGAGACACGAAGTTGGCGATTCGCTTGCCACGTGGCCTGCAAGGCTACTTCTGGCGGCAGCCGCGTGGCTCGCGTGGCCAGGCCCCCGCCAGTCTGGTTTGGGGTCTTCTCATGTGGGGTTTTCCGAAATTAGGGTCACCTCCCTGCGGTCCTTATTATTATATTATAAGGGAATCCTACTATTTGGGTCGAAATTTTCTTGGGGTCCCTTATTTTCGTTAAACTCCCATGCAGCAGACGGGCGTGCGTGAAGCTGAGCATCGGAGTGCACACCTGCAGGTGGCTTGCCTCGGGCTATTGCGAGAGCCGCACTATGCGATACAACCCTCTTGACCTTGGGGGACTCAATGAACCCTAAAAGGGTTTCTGGTCCATATTACCTGAATAGGGATTAGTAGTAGTATAGGGTGACCACAATTTGGGGTTCAAAATGGTCCTCAAGGCACCGAAGCCCTAAACAGTAAAAGCGGCCTGGTGCTGCTCCGAATTGATCGGCCGCCGCCCTACATGACAGCCTTCGGAATCCAACGAAGCACTCTCAAAGGCTTCGATCCTTAAAAGGCTTCAGCCCCCAAATTCCACAAAATGGCCCAAACTTAAACTCAGAAAACTGGAGGCCCGAAGCAGCACTGATTAACAATCATCATCGCAAGCATGAACCAACCTAATTGGCAGCAGCAACACCTTAGGAACCCTAAAACCCAAAACCCCATAAACTCCAAACCCGAAAAACTGACCCCAAAAACCCTAAACCCTAAACCCTAAACCTTAAAATCTACACACCAGACCCCTTAAACCCCCTAAACCCTAAACCGTCTAAGAACAGCCGAACCCTGAGCTGTCCCAGGGCCGGGAACTTCAGATCTTGCAGACTTGGCCCCGGATGCTGCCGAGGTGGGGAGAGGGGGGGGTGGGGGGGGGTAGCTTGTGGTTGGGTTTTAGGGCTCTAGGGTTTTCGGGGCTGTAGGGTTCAGAGCTTTTGGTGTTTTTTTTGTTTTTTCTTTTTGTTGGCTTTCGATGTCTTAAGGCGGTGATGCGAGTTGAGGGCCTCTTGAGGCCTTGATCGCTGTTTGCTGCCAGGGAGAAGTGTCAAAGCCCGGGCATTGCTGCGTCAACCCCTTGACAGATGCGCACATGCTCCCGCTTGAGGCATGAGTTGCATGACACTGCTGCCCTTATTATAAGGGCTCCTCCAATCCCCTCGTTTTTGGATGTTTGAACATGTGCTAGACGCGACTCGCCTTGAATGAAATACGATGTATGCATTAGAATGCGTACGTACACACCCATACATCCCTACTTCGCTACGTGCACACATGCATACGTACATGTGTCATGAGCCTGGTATCGCTTTCATGCCCATGTTCGTGCTACATGCCCCCACAACACCCATACCACAACACGCAATTGGTGCTGAGACCCCAAATCCCTAATCCCTAGACCCCAAACCCCAAACCCTAAACCCTAAACCCCAAACCCTATTGTAAACCCTAACCCGAAACCCTAAACCCAAACCCTAAAACCCATGCTTTAGGCCGACAGCCTCTTCCGCGAAGCGGCGGACGCCGGCCACTGGGGCGCGGCCACTGCCTTGGAAGGGTTCGCCTGCCCAAGGTCCCCTTCAAGCGTCACTTCAACTACCCCCGCCCCCCTTCTCCATGAAGACGCATGGAGCCATAAACCCTTGTGGGGGTTCATCCACCCCCCCCCCCCCCCCCAATTAAGGTATCCCCAAACCCTAAACCCTGTCGCAGGGGTTTGGGTGTGCTTGGGGGATGCTTCGTGCTCTCCCATGGCCTTCTCAGCTTTGGCTCCTGAGCATGTTTGAAGCCAACTCGGGGGTTTAGGGTTTAGGGTTTAGGATTTAGGGTTTAGGGCTTACAAGTTCTCTTCATTTTTGGTTTTTGGTTTCTGTGGAATCGAAGCTTGGAAGCTGGGTGACTGCACGATTTGGGCTGGGGCTGGGCAATTGGAGATGGAGGTCTCTAGCTTCTTTAGATTCAGAGCTTCCTGGAATGTCGCCCTCTTACACTAAGTAGCTGAGTGAGTACACTTTACACTTTTTGGGATACAATAGAACTGAAAGCACCAACCCCCACCTTCTCCAATACATGGCAGCATGCATGCAATTCTCCTCAACTATCCGGAGGCTGCAGAATTTATTCTCTTTAGCGGGTGGCGCAAGGAATAGAACTGAAAGTGTACACTTTTTGGGGGCTTGTGAACTCAGCAACTAGGTACATCTGATTCTAGGCTTTAGGGGATTAACCTTCGGCCTCCGAGCCGGAGCCGTGTATTCCGTTCTCTCCCCAAGCGATGACTTTCTTATTAATGCGAAATAATGAGTAATCAAAATTAACAGAGAAATTCAGACAGACCAATAAACACATATATGAACAAGAAAGCCGTAAATTGAAGCAAAGCATGATATGCACGAAGTAAATTCACACATATACATGCATATATATATATATATATATATGTATATATATATATGTATATACATATGTATATAGATATATATGTATACATTGCATTGTCTAGCTCCTCACACACACACATGTGGTGCCTTTCGGAGATCCGTCCAGGCCTATGCCTTGGCCATGATCAAGCTCGATGGCGAGAACAAGAGTGCCTCAGCGGCCGCGATGTTTTAAGGTGTATCGGGTTTGGAGGATGTATAGGGTTCTAGGACTTCCATAAATATACATAGAAATATAAACACATGAATGTTCATATATATATATATATATAGATATGTGGGACAAAAAGGACGTACATAATTTTAGGATTCACAAGATTCATAGGCTTTATAAGGGTTGCGGGGCTCATAGGGTTGATAGGTTGTAATTAGAAGGTTCACACTTAGGTCTTATGGGGTTTTGCAGCGTCTCTTGGGCTCAAGGCTTCAGGCTTGTGGATGCCCTAAACCCCAAGCCCCAAGCCCTAAGCCCCAAACCCCAAACCCCAAACCCTAAACCCTAAACCCTAAACCCCAATAAACTCTAATAGACTCTAATAGACTCTAATAAACCCTAAACCCTAAACCCTAAACCCTAAACCCTAAACCCTAAACCCTAAACGCCGGCCTTGAGGCGAAGCGGAGCCCTACCTGACCCAAGTGGTGGAGTCGGACGCGGACGAAGCGGCGCTCCCTGGCGACAAGTTTGACTTTCGGGGTTTAGGGTTCATAGGGTTTAGGGTTTAGGGCTAGGGTTTAGGGTTTAGGGTTTAGGGTTTAGGGTTTAGGGTTTAGGGTTTAGGGTTTAGGGTTTAGGGTTTAGGGTTTAGGGTTTAGGGTTTAGGGTTTAGGGTTCGGCTCCCCATCTACTCTATCTATTGGGATGCTCCCCCTTATACTAAACAGTCCTTAGTACTTGTAGGGATCCTAAATCGCCCCATTCAGGACTGTTAGTATTGGAGGAAACTCACCCCAATCTATATAAACCCTAAACTCCAGACCCCCCCGAATTGTTGAGCTTCATTCGGTCCTCACCGTCGGTATAGGCGTTTGTTCTTTCTCTTTGAACCCTAAACCCTAAAACCTAAACCCTCAACCCTAAGCCCTAAACCCTGAACCCTAAACCCTAAACCCTAAACCCTAAATCGTATGTAGGGATCGAATTTCGGAGGGTCTGAGGGTGCCAGCCTAGCAGAAAAAAAAACCTCCTCCGCAGCCAGCAAAGCGAGAGAGCCCTGGACTTCCTGAACGCCCCCTCGCCACAGGTTTTAGGGTTTAGGGTTTAGGGTTTAGGGTTTCGGGTTTCGGGTTTAGGGTTTAGGGTTTGCATCCCCCACCCAGCCCAGATGGGAAAGAAAGGGGTTTGGGGGTTATAGGGCCTGTAGCCCCCACGAAGTCCCAGGAGGGCCTTCGCCCAGTACTTCCGCCATCGCTTTGGCCTGGGTGTTGCCAAGGAACCCCCTGGGGGGTTTAGGGTTTGGGGTTTAGGGTTTAGGGTTTTGGGGTGGTTTTAGGGTGGTTTTAGGGTGGTTTGAGGGGGTTTGAGGGGGTGTATGAGAGGGGGTTTGAGAGGGTGTTGGCTTGGAGGCAACAGAAAAGGCATAAAGGGTTTTAAGGGTGCGAAGGGCTGTTGGGTTTTCGGCCTTGAGTGATTGAGTTTATGGGCTGGTGTTTCGGCATCGTCTTGGAGAAGGGTCTAGAGTTTGTTTGTTTTCTCTCTGCGACCGCGATAAACAACTAAACAACTGGCCCGCAACACACACTTGAATGTATCTCCGGCCTTGGGATGTTCCCCCTTATGCTAACAGTCCTTGCTAGGGATTATAGCACCCCCCTGTCCTTATAATCCCTACTAAGCTCCAGCACAGAAACCCGGCAAATGATTCGGTCACAAACCCCATGAACCCTCGGGCAAGGATCCCGCGAAAGCGGGGCTGTGGATGCTTGGCCTGGATGAGAAATGCACCCCAAAAGGGTTTAGGGTTCATATACCTTAATACGAATTATAATGGTACAGGGTACATGGCCCCAATTTTAAGGTTCATTTGGAGGAGGATATTTGGGATGCTGGGAGGTTTCTGAGCGGCCCTTGACCTTTCCAGGTTTGGGGTTCAAGGGTTGAGGGCCTTGTGTCCTACACCAGCATGGTAAACCAATGTAGAAGTCAAGTAAGCAAATACTGCGCGCCTACACCCTTTTGCTTATTTGTTTTTCTTATTTTGGACGGGAGGGGGGGGTCAGTTTCAGGCGACGAACGCCTCCAAAGCCCCAAGTCCTGGCGGGCGATCTGCCAGACGGGTTTAGGGCTTAGGAAGTGTGGTGCCACATCTCCAGGCAAACTGACGCAAAAAGGTCGAATCTTCTGTCCATACCAAATCCCTCAAATCCAAAGCCAAATCAGCCAAAGCAACGAGTCGCAAGACTGCAAAGCCTAGAGAACCCCCTTAAACCCTAAACCCTATAAGAAACCCAACCCCTACCCCAACCCCGTAAATCAACCCTAAGGAACATGCAACCCCTACCCCAACCCGGGTGCGAACTAAAAGGTTGCAGCAAGCGGCCGCCTTCGGCGAGGCGCCAAAACGCGGTTTCGTCTCCATTTGCTTCCTCTTAACTTCTACACATTGCAAGGCAAGGTGTCCACAAAGCCTCTATTTATTGCCTTTTTCTAAATCAATGTACTATTCAACCGAAAACGACGCTGTGCAGCGTAGGAAGCGTTCCTCTATCCGGGTGCGGGAAGTTCATCGCCAAAGGATGTGTTAGTGTTTGCTAGCCGGTTGTTGCACGTTGTTGCCAGATCAGTGCCGTAACGCTGCTGGCGGAGCTGAACACCAGGGAGGTCAGGAAGGGATTTCCCGAAAAGGTTCGAGCTTTGGGGCCCTGGGTTTTTGCGGGGCGGTTTGCAGGTGGGCTATAGCCCTGTAGTAGCTGAATGAGTACTTTACGCTTTCTGGGATACTAGAATCCCCTATAGAACTGAAAGTGTTTTTTTGGGGGGCTTAGTCAGAACCGAGCCAGAGTGCGGGCCCAGCCACAGCTGTAGCCCAACCCAGCTCACTCTTTGCATAAGGACCGGCTTCAGGCACGAGGGGGGACTGGGATAAGTGGAAGAATGCGACGTGGGTTGAAGGGAAGGGTCGTGCGTGCCGGAGGGCTGAGTGAAGAATGCTTTCTTTCTCAGAGCATCAGCCAGTGGCCAGCCATGGAAAGCACAGGTTTCGCCTAAACATTGGTCGTTTTTTGGGGGGCCCGAACTAGAAGGCCACAGAACCGGAGCCCCAAAATGAAGCCGACTTTCGAGAACTGCCCAAAATGCCCCCCAACATCCTTCAATAACCACCTTTGGCATCAAGAAAGCCCTTTGAAAGCATCGTGCGAAACATGCATGTCGGTTTTGAGGGGAAGTCATGGTTCAACTGGCCTACTGTAGGGGTTATACGGGTGGGGAAATCCAAAAACATAGCCTTCTCGGTAGTCTCCCAGCAATGCACGTCACGAAGGATGCAGATGTGACGCTTCCCGGTGGTCGAAACCTCTCTGTGGCATTGGGATACTTTCGGCAGGCGCTGGCTTCATTGAGGGTTTAGATCTTATTGGGCTTTTTGGCAGGGTAGGATTTGGGGGTTTGCAAAAAAGGGCCCCCAATATAGACCCCCAAATAGTAGGATCCCCTTATAGTAAGGACCCCAAATGAGGTACCCCTAAAGTCGTCAACCCCCATTTCGGGATGTTGGGGCGTTGTCGCGTGAGGTGTTGAGAATCTTCTTTGCATGGGCTGGGGGTCCCCTAAATCCTAAACCCTAAACCCTAAATGGCAGCACCAGTTGACCGACTGCTGCTGCATCTGTTTGGCGATGATGAGACCCTAAACCCCTTTACCATCGTTCCCCAAACCCTAAACCGTATAAACCCTATTAAACCCGATTAAAACCCTATACAAAAAACTCATAAAAAAAAAAAAAAAAAAAAAAAAAACCTATAAACCCTAGCTCCCTAACCTCTTCAAGCCTCAAGCGAAAGCAAGAAGACAAAGAAGCTCTCAGAACCTCAAGCCCCCCCGAGGTGGCGAGCGCAGGGCAGCTCCCGACTCGCTACAACATTGGCTGGGGCCTCAAGCTCTCGGTTTCGGGTTCGGGCGCCTCAGGTTCCGGGTTTAGGGTTAGGGTTTAGGACTTAAGGTTTAGGGTTTAAGGGTTTAAGGGTTTAAGGTTTTAGGGTTTAGGGTCGCATCGGAGCCTGTGAGACACCAGGCTCTCGGGAGAGCTCGTGGTGTATCAGGGATAAATCGTGAAACGCCCTCTTCATCGGCCTAAACCCGAGACCCTCACTTGCGGCTCAGCTGGCTCGGGCTGGTAAGCTTACAGGCTTTAAGTCAGGCTGTGACCGGCATTGCGGGTGCCTACCATGCTTACAACCTCATACTCGTTACTGACTTACTGGATTTCCATACGATGAGCGAAGAGAAAGAGAAAGTCCATCAGTCCATCCACGGACAATGGTGGTGGGGGGGAGACCCACCAGTCTTGGTTTCACGAGTTCACTTTCGGATATAAGGTCTTACAAGGCCCCCCAAACCCCATAAGACAAATTTTACGGGTGCTAAAGCCTCAACCCCCAAACCCTAAACGTCCTCTTGGCAGGAGTTCTCCTCCTGCAGTCCTTGACCAATGGCAGCGCTGCCACCATACCGGACGCCCGTGGCTCTGAAGGGATCCGTTTTGAGCGTGCTCTTTTTTGTTTTTTTAGGAGAGGGGGGGGGGGGGGGGTCCTTCGGTTCCCTTGCTTCAGGTAGCCCAGCAACCGACAGGATAGCCTTAAAATAGTGTTCCAAGGTTGCTGGGAACCTCAAGGTGAGGATCCTAGAGTACCCGACGCATTGGAAGCCGTTTAGGGTTTAGGGTGTTCGGATCCGGCTGAGCATTAAAAGGGTTTAGGGTTTAAACCCTAAACCCTAAACCCTAAACCCTTAGTAAGCAGGGTTCGTCAGTTGGGTTTATGGGGATTCATACAAAGGGTTTCTAGAGGGGAGTAGACTGATTATGAGGGCTTCCCAGTCAGCCCTAGACATCCCCATAACTTGGGATCTTCCCCCTGTACTGACAGCTCCTTGACAGGGATGATCCTACCCCCTATTATAATCCTTATTAAGGAGCTGCTAGTACAAGGGGGAACATCCCAACCTATAACCCTAAACCCTAAGCCCTAAACCCTAAACTCTAAACCCTGTTGCATGCGAGGAGAACCTGTCCCTGGCCGACTGCCACGAGATCCGCGGAGAGTTCGCCGAAGTCGTAGCTTGGCGTCGGCACACACCCAAGCGCACCTTTACCAAAACTTTGTACCCTAAAGACTCAAAAGCCCTAAAAACCCTAAAAAAACCTGAAAACCCGAAAAGCCCCAAAAACCCTAAAAAACCCTAAACCCTACAAACCCAAGACCCCACATGATTTACGGCGTTTCATGTGGTTTCGGGCCCGGAGACCGAATTGTTTGGGGTCTTGGGCCCTCATACTTGGAGGTTCACGGTACTTCTTAACCAATCATAACTGTACTTATGACCCACTTATAAGCCCCTGAAGAGTAAGTACCATGAACCTCCAAGTAGGGATCGGGCTCAGGGTTTTATGGCTGTGGGTTTTCGAGGGTTTAGGGAACTCCGGAGCCGAAGCAGCGGTTTAGGGTTTAGGGTTGAGGGTTTAGGGTTTAGGGTTTAGGGTTTAGGGTTTAGGTTTGGGTTGTGTTCGATGGGCTGCAAAAGCGTAAAGCTCAGCTGTTAGCGGCAAGATCCTGGACTCAGAACGCGTCTTCTGCCGTGGGCCGAACCCTTAAACCCCCTCCAGCCAAGCAGGCCAACGTAAACCCCACGCCCCTAAGCTTTAGAACCCTCTACCCTATGCAGTACCCTACCACCCCTTCAACCACATGGCCGCTGGCCTTGATTTCATGGGGCCCTGAAGGCCCGCGACTTGGATCCCACTGTCCGGCTGCTCTTTGCGCTTGCCATGAGGCCGGCAGAAGTTGGAGAAACGGGGGGATACGGGGGATCGGTGGGAGCGGGGCGGGGGGGGGGGGGGGGGGCCTGAGAGTAGGTCAACTAGAAAGTCTCAGGGGTGCTCATGTCGCGCCCAGTACCCCCTTGAGATGCCTCGCAGGACACCAATCAGATACTCTTTTAAGCCCTTGGGCCCTTTTGCCCTCATCAAGAGACATTCCGCAATTCCCGAACACTCTACTACGGGAAGCGCTTGAATCTGGATGGTTCAAACTCAAGTCTACCTCCCTCAACTGCCCCCAGCCCTACAGATCCTAGGCCTCAGCCGAGAGTAAGCCCTAAACCCTGTGAACCCCAAAAGCCCTAAAACCCCAAAACCCAAAACCCTAAACCCCAAACCCTTGCGGAAGGGCCTGGGACCGTGGTCCGCGTCCCGCTGCTGCTGCACTCTTCGCGCTCCTGAGCGACGTGGGTGTTGGGGGTGCCCAGCTGGTGGCAGCGTTGGGAGCGGGAGGGAATTTAATTATAGGGAAGGGCTTCGGCTTGGAGACTTAGGGTTTAGGGTTTAGGGTTCAGGGTTTAGGGTTTAGGGTTTAGGGTTTAGGGCCTGAAGGCTCCAATGTAGCTCCTTTTTGGTTAAGTTCTAGGGGCTGTTAGTATACTAGCCCAAAAAAGGTACTACATAGGAGTTTTTGGGTAGGACTCAAAGTTCGGACTGCAGGGTTTCTATAGGGTTTAGGGGGTTCTTATAAGCAAACGGGCGTTTAGGGTTTAGGACGCAGGGTTTAGGATTTGGCTCAAAAAAGATTGGACTTGGGTTTATGTTGGGTTGTAGGGTCCCTGAAAAAGCATAGCACGCGAGGTGACGAAAGCGCACCGCAACGCTGCACTCTTCTGGGAGGAGCGCATAGGCCGGCTTCCTGCGTCTGAGTCTGCACCTTGAGGACATGAACCCCCAAAATTGGGGGTCATAGACCCTCTACTATACTACAGTCCCTATTAAGGTAATATGGACCAGAAACCCTTTTCACCCTGAACCCTAAACCCTAAACCTTAAACCCTAAACCCTAAACCCTAGGGTGAGAGAAAAACAAACCCTAAACCCTAAACCCTAGGGTTCATTTAGTCCCCAAGGTAGTGGGGTTCTGGGTTTATCAGGTTGAGTGCCCAGGGAGGCAGAGTCCGAGCTGGCAACTCCCCTCGCCCAAGAGCACGGCGGTTTAGGGTTTAGGGTTTAGGGTTTAGGATTTAGGGTTTAGGGTTTAGGGTTTAGGGTTTGGACAAACACCTCAGTGATGACGTTGCCAAAAAAAGCGAGGACGCCCTTTTTTCGTGGCCTCAGGTGTCTTCCGAAGAATGCTCTGAGCTCTGCTGTCCATATGATAAGCCGTGAAGACTGAAGGTCTGAACACTTCGATAGGCAGGCGCCATATGAAACCCAAGAGCGCCCCGGTTGAAGAATGCGCCGAAAGCCTTCTGAGGAGCGCAGCTGAGCCCGACCAGCCCGAGTAGCGGTTTTAGGGTTAAGGGTTTTGTTTTTAGGGTTTAGGGTTTAGGGAACGTTGCTTCCTTGGCAGGTGCCTGGGACTCAGCGTCGACGGAGGCCAAGCCAACGGAACAGACACAGGCGGAAGCACGTGATGTGGAGGGGAGGGCAGCGGGGTGGGGTGGGGAGGGGGGCGGTGGCTCTGAGAGTTTGGGGTCGTGATAAGGAAAAACACGCTTGGGTGGCCCTTGAAAACAAGCCAGCCAAAGCCGTGAAGCACCGAGCACTAATCCCATATCGCTGAAATCACCTGAACGAGCTGCCCGTCTACAGGGCCCCCATCCCCGCGAGGACGCAGGGACGTGCAACGCAACCGAGGACGACGTCACAGTAGAGCTTGTGGCGGCAGGCACAGACACAGAGGGTCCTTAAAGTGGCGTCTGCTATACCGGTTGGTTTCGCGGGATTCGCCATTCTGCTTAAGACCCTAAACCTTAGATAGACATGCAAAGGTTCAAGATAAGCGAGACGCTCACTTGTCAGGGTTCGGGTCCGGAAGCGGCATACGGGGTCCTGAGATGGCTAGGTGTATCGTACAATGAGCATCTCGATGCATTTCAACTTAGCGAGCATGGCATGGCAGCATCCCAGCATCCCCATTGCAAAGGAGCCTCGGTAATCGAGCCAACATCTCCTGTAAAGTTTGCCAGGTCGCTTTTGCTGCAACGGCGGGCACGGGGAGGACGAGGCATTTCATGTGACAGTCTCTGCGAAGAAGCCTTCAGGCGTTTGGGTGTCGAACCTGTGTAGACTCTTTGACGGCAGCATCCCAGCGGATCCGCCACGTGTGTGGTTTGTGGCGCAGGTTTGTAGCGTTGCGGTTCTTTCTACTGTGTGCGACATTTTGACCCGACTTGTATCTGTAAGCAGCTTTTTGTGATGAAGGGATGTGCGCCAATGGCTGCTCGAGTGGGATTTGGGCTTGTGAGAAGGGTCATGGAAAGCTTCAGGACTGCGATGACTTCCTCTTCAATGAACCAGGGTTCTTGCCGGCAGAATGCGCCTGGGCTTGCGCCAGCAACTCCACAAATCAATCCGTACCGCCCCCCGACCCGACGATTGGTGTATCCTTCGCCAGGAACGTAGTCGCCAAGTAGGAGGTTCCAGTGACTCTCGCGGGCTTGGTTCAGGCTACGCGCCGTAGCCTCAACCCAGACTCCAAGTTCCCTCTCGAGCTCCTAAAGCCCTTGAACTTGAAGATCAGAAAGTGCCTTTGAATATTTCATGGCTCTCACAGATAGTTCATGGCTCTCACGGATTGAGAGCCGTTTTCACAATTGAGGCGTGGTGAAGTGCAGCATGGATCTCAGGGGAAAGCTGGTCTCAGGATGGGGTTGGGAAGAGTACGCTGAGGGAGGTTAGGGGCATGCCGGCACACTCCGGAACTCACGACAAGCTGATCGTAAAGCGGAGAAGGTCTAGTAGACCTTGGTCTTTAGTGAGTGGGTTGCTGTCAATTCGCGTGCTTCGAGATTGCATGGTGGATGACCGCATATGCAAGAAGGCGCACGCCTCATACCCCACGTTAAAAGTCCATTTTCAGATTCTGTGGCACCCAACGTGCCGCATTTATCGTTGTGCCTTTGAGCCTAAAATGTTGCTTGTGGCTCCGCATGAGGGTTTACGAAAATAGGGCGCCCCCAATATAGACCCCCAAATAGTAGGATCCCCTTGTCATAAGGACCCCAATAAGGTACCCCGAATCTCGGAAATGCAGTTGCAGGTGAGGAGCCCAGCTGTGCCTTTGCCACTGTCTATGCCACGAGCTACTGCAACTGGGACCCATATGGTACACCCCCCAAATAGTAGGACTCCCTACGACCCAAATAGGGTACCCCTAACACCCATGTGTGTGGCGGGCACGAGTTCTTGTAGCCGATGTTTGGCCTCTTCAGGGCTTTGAGGCATTGGTGGTTGTTTTGCGGGCTTGGCGCCTGATTTCTTCTGGGTAGGGGTCTGGCAAGGGTTTCTGCCCGTAGATTCGATGCGGGGATCTGCAGAGTTTTTGGTGCTGCAAAGCTTTGTGCCAAGATGCGCATCGTGTTCTTGCGAGCAAGTGCCTCCTGCGATGGCACACTCCCTGATCCAGCCTTATTTCGGTATAGGGCTAGCCCTCCACCCAACACCCTAAAATCCTATCAGAGCCCCTGATAAACCATAGTAAGCCTTTGAACCCTGAACCCGAAACCCTCCAAAAAATGGGGCGGGGTAAAGATTCTCATGTGACTCACCAAACACAAGCCCTATATAAGCCTGGAACCCTTGAAAATTTGGGAGGGGTTGCCATGTATCTCACAAGTAAGCCCTATATAATCCCCATGTAAACAATAAGCCCTCTAGAAACCCCGAACCCTAAAAAACTGTGCTTCCCATGATTCGCCTGTACCTTGCAAAGATGAACCCTAAACCCTAAACCCTAGACCCTAAACCCTAAACCCCAAACCTCCACAAAGATGTGCTTCGAGGCCAGCTCACCGACCGCTGCGACCGGCTCCTGGAAGCCGCGGACGCCTCGGCGCAGACGCCTGGCCTGGCTTTTTTGGGAGAGTTTGTGTTTTTTGTTTTGTGTGTTTTTGTGGGTTGAGGGGTTTAGGGTTTAGGGTTTGGGGTTTGGGGTTTAGGATTAGCGGCCCTCAGTCCTGGCATGAAGCAGCTTCCAGGTTCAAAAGGGTTTAGGATTAGGGTTTAGGGTTTAGGATTTAGGGTTTAGGATTTATAAGGCTTAGGGCTTCGGGTTTCTAAGGGAGCCTACATATACCAAATGCTTTTCTTTTTTTCAAGGAAGGGTCCGATGAAGGGGGGCCCAGCCCAGGACCCTGCGCCTAGGAAGGCGAGGCTCGGAAGCAGCAGCCTGCAGGCCCGCGCTGCGGCCTTTGTTTTTCGTTGACCCTGTGCGGCTATGTTTATATATATATATATATGTATTTATTATTTATTTATTTATTTATTTGTTTGTTTGTTTGTTTATATTTTTTATGTATATTATTTATTGATCTTATTTATTTATATGTATATCTACATTTATGTTTATATTTATATTTATATTTATATTTACATTTATTTTATATTTATGTTTATGTTTATATTTATATTTGCATTTATATTAATATTTACAAATGTATATTGTGTACTAGATAATCATGTATACATTTTTGCATGTGTGTACATATACGTATATATACATACACGTACAATGAGCCTCCACTGTTTAGGGCCGTCGTTCCGGGTATCGGAAAGTGTTTTCACTTTGCGTAATGAGGCTCAGGGAACCCATGATTTCGAGGTTATGGTTTGGGATGTTCCCACTTCTACTAACAGTCCTTCATAGGGATGATAGTACCCCTAGTAAAATCCCTGCCTCTGTCAGAATCCAAAAAGTAAGCCCAAAAAGCCCCTCAACTACGGAATATACCCTAAATCATATTAAATCATCTTAGGGACTCCTTTTTAGAAATCGCCAGGTACATTCCAAAAAAAACAAAAGGGGTATTGGGCTCTTTGGGAATCTGTGTCGCGTCAGGGCCAGCAGCGTGCGGAGTGCGGTGTGGGAGTGCTCTCCCTGGCAGGCCAGTGCTTGGGAAACTTTGCATGGCTTTATGGGGTCTATATAGGGTTATTATAGTGTTTTTAGGGCTTTTTAGGTTTGATATAGGGTTTTTAGGGTTTATCGGTTTTTTTTAAGGGTTTTTAGGGTTTTTAGGGTTTGTATAGGGTTTATGTAGGGTTTAGGTTTTTTAGGGTTTTTAGGGTTTGTATAGGGCCGTATAGGGTTTATGTAGGGCTTAGGAGGTGCTTCAGCAGGGTGGGGCCCATGGAGTTCGCGCGGGCGGCTCACGCCCGCAGGAAGCACGGCATGGGAGCGTCTTAAGGTTTAAGGGTTTAAGGGTTTAAGGGTTTAAGGGTTTAAGGGTTTAAGGGTTTAAGGGTTTAAGGGCTTAAGGGTTTAAGGGCTTAAGGGTTTAAGGGTTTAAGGGTTTAAGGGTTTAGGATTTCGGGTCTTAGGGTCTTAGGGTCTTCGGGTCTTAGGGTCTTAGGGTCTTAGGTTCCTTCGGCTTTAGGGTTGAGGGTCGTAGGTTTCAAGAGTGGAGCACAACCCTGCGGATGCATGCTTTTTTGGCTGAAGCTCAAGAAGTGCTGCACGCTGCCATTCCTTGCAATACATGAACACAGCACGACTCTCAGCAATGCCTGCGGAGCAAACGAATGCCGCCAGAGTTTCCGCACCAGTTATCTTCGTTAGACTCGATAGCACAGCGAAGTCGCCGGGGGCGCTGCAGCCATGATGTCAGGAGCAGGGAAGGGCCGCTTCAGAACCCAAGCTTACTTGTGTCACAACAACAGTTGGGGTAGCAACGCCGGGCCCTGGTTGCAGGGTTTTGTGTGTGTCGTCTCTCTCTCTCTCTCTGTCTTATATATATATATATATCTATATCTATATCTATCTATCTTATATACATTCCCAAAACTTGTGGGGTATTTGAAAGATCGGGCTCTTTGGATGAGGAGGCGGCGCCGGGGGCAGCGCCGGCGGCTGCCCCGCCCAGCCCGCAGGGGGCGCCGCGCCCGGTGCGCCGGGAGCGCCCGGAGCGCCCGGAGCGCCAGGCCCGCGCTCAAGCTTGGGTGACCCAATCATCCCTCTGCACCTTAACTCCCACTTTTCTGTTTATAAGGCCCCCCCCCCCCCCATGTCAGACTCAATCAAAAAGTTCGGTGTGAGGTCCTATGATGGGCATGCCGATGGGCATGGGCGGTATGGGGCCCATGGGAGCCATGGGCCCCATGCAAGGCATGGCGCCAGGCATGGCGATGCCGATGGGGGTCATGGGGGGCATGGGCATGAATGGAATGGGCATGGGTGGCCCCATGGGTGCCCCCATGGGCGGCCCCATGATGGGTGGCCCCATGGGCGGCATGGGCATGCCGATGATGGCGATGAACCCCATGGCAAGGTGCTCAGAGTGTGTGTGCTCAGAGTTGAAGCTGTGAAGTCGCATCGGCCGTTCGGAATCACCCCCCCAAGAACTTGAGGCCATGATGAACATGGCCACGATGATGGGCATGATGGGCGGCATGGGGAGCGCCCCGGAGGAGTCCGAGAAGGTCCCTTGGGGACCAAATGAACCTCAAAAATTAGGGTCATATACCCTCTACTGCCATAATTCTTGCTATAAGGTACATGAACCATAAACCCTATACTTCTTATTACGGTAATATGAATCCTAAACCCTTCTAGGGCAAAACCTTCGTCCCCAAGGTCGAGCCACCCCCGGACCCCATCGACTCGCGGGTCAAGGAGATCTGCCGGCACTTTGGCATCGAGGACAAGATCTGCGAGAAGCTGAACAAGGCGCCCGAAGCCTCCCGAAACCCCTATAAACCCTTGAAATTGAAACCCCTAAACCCCCTAAAACCCGAGACCCTATAAACCCTAAACCCCCTAAACCCCTAAAACCCCCTAAACCCCTAAACCCTAAACTTCCTAAACCCTAAACCCCCGGAGTTGATGCCTGAGTGTGTCTGCGGCGTGGGTGGCAAAACAAACCCTTCCGTTGCCACCTTCTCGTTGCCCTGACATGCACTCAAGCTCCAGCCACTTTCCTTCAAGGTTCCAAGGCTTGGGGCGTGGGGCTAGGGTTTAGGGTTTAGGGTTTAGGGTTTAGGGTTTAAGGTTTAGGGTTTAGGGTTTAATACCTTTCAGCCCGGCACAGTAGCATTCGGGGCCTGTCATGTCCGTCGACTGCCTTGGTCGCATCGTGTCCCTTGCTGAGTCGGCCCCTGAGGCCATGAAGACCCGCGAGGACTTCGACGAGGACATGCAGGCCTTTCTCAGCCAACAGTTGAACTGTAAACTTTTTCTGTCTTTCCCCACAACTAGTAGGAAGAATTAAAGTTTATAATCATTTTTTCTCCCTTTGGTTCTTGGAGAAGTATAAGAGGTGCTTTGGCACATCATGGAGAAGGGCGCCAGGAACAACAAGAAGGCCGTAGACGTGATGCTCGTGAAGATACGGGAGATCAACAACGGCACCTTCATCGGTGCTCTCGGCCGAACTAGGGGTTTAGGGTTTAGGGTGGTTTAGGGTTTACATCGGGTTTAGGGTTTGGGGGGGAGACTTCACGAGACTCCCAGCAAAGCCTCAAAACTTGAAGATGAATGCTTATAACCAATGCTTACCTCTGGCTTGCTTGTGCTTTTTCGACTGTATTCTGTCTGACGCCTGCCCCGACTGAGGCAAAGACCTGCTGGACCCAGAGATCAAGGACTTTGCCTGGAAGTACAACTTGGACGACCAGCTCCTCCACCGCTTGATCAAGACCATGAAGAAGCGCAAGCATCACAAGAGCCAGGCACGATGTCTTCTCGGCAAGGGCAGCTGCAAAGTCCTAATTTCAGAATCAGGATCTCAAAGACATGGACGAGCGCATCGGAGCCCTGCCTCAGAAATCCGTATATTAGGGTTTATAAATAGGGTTTAGGGTTATGTACATGGGACTGTCGCCGCTCAGCACGTCTTTTAGCTCTTAAGGCAGACTTCAATCGATGCGACGTGGCTGAGGCAATGCCAAGCACCCTTCCGGACTGCTGGTGCGCATGCTGGAAGGTGGGAGCCTGAGGGTTTAGGGTTTAGGGTTATTAGGGTTATTGGGGTTTAGGGTTTAGGGTTTAGGGTTATTAGGGTTTAGGGTTTAGGGTTTAGGGTTTAGGGTTGGGGCTACTACTGGAAGGTGGGAGCCTCTGTGTGTGTGTGTGTGTGTGCGTGCCATGCGAGGGTTTCCGATAAGGGAATGCTACTACTCGGGGGTTTACGAAGATAGGGGACCCCCAGCATGAACCCCAAATGGTAGGATTCCCGTCTACTAAGGACCCCGATAAGGTACCCCTAATGTATAGTAAACCCCCATTTGGGGGGCATGATAGGGGTCCCAGATTTTCGTAAACTCCCATGTCGGGGCGTCATTAAGATCTCTCTGAGCCTGTTGTGGCAGCGTGCCTGGCGCTCGAGGCTTAGAAGAGAACGGCAAGATGCCCCCTGCCCCGGGCTGGCCGCGGCCCCAGCATCAACCAGGGGTTTAGGGTTTGGGGTTTAGGGTTTAGGGTTTAAGGTTTAGGTCAAAGGTCCGGCTGCAAAAAGGGTTTAGGTCAACGACCATTGCGAAATCCTCGGCCGCCCGCTTGCGGGCACCACGTCTGCTTGCAGGCTGCAGCAGAGCCATGGCGCCCGAAGAGAGCCCGACAAGGGAGACAAGGCACCGGAAGAGGAAATCAAATTGAAACATCTCATCATATAGCCATAGAGTAACATATACCTGAATATACCCATATATAGTCATATACAATAATTAACAATATAGTGTCAGGGTATTTGGCGTGCCTTTGCTTGGGCCCTCACACGCCCATGCGCCTGAGAAGGCAACTGACAGCCTGAACACTCCCAAAGGGTCCATGTACCCATGGAGTATATACTTGGCCCTCAAAGGGGTTCCCTGAACCCTAAGCCCTACCTAAATGGGTACATGCACCCTTGGGGACTTGCCAGGAGAAAGACCGCTCTTCCCGCACGTCCCGTTCCCGCTCCCGAGGCCTCATGGCAAATTTTCCTTCGGGACGAAATGAGCACGACAAGGGTTGTTGTGGTTCATACACCTTCTTAATAAGCGTTATAGTGGCAGAGGGTACCCCCCAATTTGAAGGTCTATTTGGTCCCCAAAGGTTCTTTTTGCAGAGGCAGAGTGCGCTCCACTTCTTGACCGGGCGTCTTGTGTTGGGATCTCCGCGACAGGTTGAAGGCGGCAGCTTGCGAATGAGAGGGCGGCATGAACGACCCAAAAAAAGCGAGGACCGGCACACCTTGGGGACAAAATGAACCCTAAAAGGGTTTATGGTTCATATACCTTAATAAGAATTGCGGTATTATAGGGCAAATGGCCCCAATTTTCGGGTTCATTTTCGAAATTCTCCCCAAGGCAGAGCATGCAGTGTCGACGTGCGCAGACGCTCTCTCCACAGCCCTGGGCCAGCATCAGACATTTCCTTCATGGCTCCGCAGCGCATTGGTGCTTCAGCCACCTGCTGGCTCAAAGTATGGGGTCCCTTGCATTGCGACCCTCGCCCTCGGCAGGTGCAGTGCCCCCCCCCCCCCCCAAAAAAAAAAAGGGCGCAACGCAACAGGGTGTTACAGCTTATAGGGTTTAGGGCCCGCAAAAAACCCAGCAGATGATACTTGTGCTCCTGGAAGGTGCTTCCAAGCCGGGATGAGATGGCTGAGGACATGAGAGCCAGTCCCGAGTCAGTTTGCACGCCTATCATTGCAGAGTGATAGGGCCTATGACCCTACATACTTCGAGAGACCGAATAGTTTGGGTACTAGAACCCTTCAGGACTCAATTATTAGGTTCGTGGAAGTACAGGGTCAGACCTGTGTAGAACCCAAAGAGTCTATTAAGCAATATACCTTAATTCATAAATGAGTTTTAAGGTATACTCCTTAATTAAGGGATATTGGGCTCTTTGGCAAGTGCGTTTTGCCATTTACCCTAAACCCCAAACCCTAAAGGCCCTAAACCC